GAGACAGAAACTTCTAAATATTAATGAAAAAGTAAAAGAAGTTTTGCTAATCATGACCTATATTCAGAAAGAAGCTGGACAAACTTAATTCTCCTCTAATAAGGCAGGCTATTATTTAGCATTTCATAGAAAAACATTTTTAGAAAATCATTAAATGCAGAAAACTTTGCATACATGCTTTCACAAATTTACTAAAGAGGTCTACAGAACATTTTTTTTAAATAATTTTTCATGAACCGGGACTACTGCCACAGCACCAAAGGAAAATCAACACTGTCCCCATCCTTAAACAGGGAAAAATGGATAAGCTGCATATTTGTTGGCCTGATACCTAGCCCAGAAAACAACAATAAGCAGAAATACTACCTTGTTCAGACTATAAAAACAAAACAAAATAAAACAAAACCCAGACCCTGAAAGGTCAACCTCACATTTTCAAGTTCAGTTGTAGGGGAAAAAAAAAACAACCCATATTTTTCCCAGAATATAAATCAATGATTACAGATAAAGACCTTAAACTACTATGGCTTTACAAAAATTTCATAGATGTATCAAATGACTAAGGGAAGTACCCAAAGTTTTAAAATCCAACCCCCACCAAAAAGCTTCACTGAAAATTCCTGATGTATTGTTTTTTTTACAAAAATGTTCAGAGTACTAAAATCAAGACTGCAGGAAGCCCAATTATACATCAACCTTGTCTCAATCATTATGGCTCTTTCAGATAATGAAAACGAACAGCAAAGTTATAATCAGAATAACACCGTACAGGAGCAATTGTAGAATTACATGGAAATTAGGTCTTTATGAATGTATAAAGCATTTAAGGAAATCAAGTTAGGTTCAAATGTGGTAACAAACTTCACCCTTATTTAGCACAGGAAACTGTCAACTAAAAATAGGAGAAGTGTATCACATACTGAAGGGACAGAGACTAAATGACAGAGACTGATACACTGCAAAAGAGATTATTGATGAGAATCATCCAACAGGGTAAGAAAAGGCCTTTCAAGTGGAGTGTCTTAAAATTCTCTACTTAAGAAAGAGTAATGGCTTTGATCATATAGTCAGAAAAAAGGTACTACTGATACTCTGCATATGACAGGATGATGGGACAATAAATAATGACCGTCATTACATGATCAGGCACTGCAGGGTACTCAACTGTGTAGATGACAGTTAAATGCTGTAAATGTCACATTTACAGGCTGGGGCTCATATCCTTGAAAGCAGCACCTCAGACCAATTTATGTTTAGCTGGTTTCTATCACCAACCCTGAGCTGCTCATACAGTATTGCAAAAAGCAATTGATGTTACCCTCAGGTATACTAAAGAGAAGAAGTTCAAGGAGCAGAGAGGTGGTATTGTGTCTGTGGTACTGTGTCTGTGTTCAGCACTATCTAGCAGTGGAAACTATCCTAATCTCCTTTTGGAAAAATCAGGAATACTGGAGAGGAAGCAGTCAAGCCACAAGAATAATTCAAAGAAAACCTGCTTCATAGCAAAAGACTGGGCTACTTCACCTGAGTGTACCCCAAAAGGTTTAGCAGCAACTTCAACAAGGACAAGGTTTAGTCACACTTCAACAAGGATGTGGAAAAACTTGAGAGGGTCCAGAGAACAGCCACTCGTATGATTGGGGACTTGCAAGACAAGCCATTAAAGGAGAGGCTGAGGGACTTCGGCCTCTTCAGCCTACAGAAGAGAAAGCTGTGAAGGGACTTGGTAGCAGCTTACCGCTACATCAGGGGAGTACATTAAGAACTTGGTGAACAGCTGTTCACCAGGGCACCCCTGGAGAAGACCAGGAGCAATGGATACAAACTCCTGGAAGACTGCTTTAGGCTCAATTCCAGGAAAAACTCCTTCACAGTCAGGGTGTTCAGACTGTGGAATAAACTCCCTCCACTGGTGGTGCAGTCACCTACGCTGGTAATCTTCAAAAGGAAACTGGATGGTCACCTTGCTGGGGTCACTTGACCCCAGTTCTCTTTTCCTGCCTAGTGCAAGGGGACTGGACCTGATGATTTACAAGGTTCCTTCCAGTCCCTAATAATCTATGAAACTTGATCATCCTTTGCAAGTACTTATGTAGGGGAAAGCTCTTTAAATCAGACACAGAAGCATCCAACAACTTTAATCTGAACTACACTAATTCAACACTGAAAAAATGATTACCCATGAAAGTTATTGGTCATGGTATAGTCCATTTAAGATTATGGAGGGAAAGGGGGATTTTTCTGTTGTCTGAGGTCTTTAAATCAAGAGCGATGCCCTCTTTAGAAATCAAGGTGATTCTCTAGCTCAGATTAGCAGAGTCTGTGCACAAGACATTATATGTACTTACACTGCACCTAGGAGCCTTACACCTGGACCAGCACCCCACTATCCTGTTTCAGGCTGCACAGAAACAGAACAGGGATAGTTTACCATGCAGTCATCTGGGTTTTTTGGTTGTTTTTTTTTTTTTTTTATAAGTAGAGAGAATAAAAGAAAACAAACAAATGAAATAATGGTTTGATTTTTTTTAAAGACAATATGGAAGAGTTTAAAGCAGGGGTGGACAATTATTTTGGCTGGACAGCCATTTAACAAGTTTTGGTGATCTGTCAAGGGCCACAAAGGCAGCCCTACCCCGTGACAAGTACCCTGCTACCTGGTTGCCATCTTGGGACCCAAAGTCCTGCCCCTAACCCCCCCCCCCCCCTTTGTCACCAAAAGCTCCTCCCCTGGCCTCAGAAGTACTTCCTGCAAATGGGGTCCCCCCCCGCAGGCAGTTGGGTTGCCATCTTGCAACCAGAAGAAAAATAAATCATTAAATTAAATTAAATTGTTATAGTAGATGTTTGATTTTTAGTATATTATTTCAAAAAAAATACTTTTGTCTTGATTTGTGTTCCATAGTATATATATATATATAGAGGCGATTGCATGATAGCTCAAAATAAAGTCTTACTCTTGTATAGTGTATGTGGGAGGGTGTTGGGTGCGTGCATGAGGGGGACTCTGCCCCTCGCCCCCGCACCCTGCTCTGTGACATGGCTGATCCTTGATCCCAGCCCTTCTGCAGGGGGGTGGGGACAGGCATTGCTACAGCAGGGACAGGAGTCATCGTTGCTGGAGGCAGAAGGAGATCAGGAGCTTCCTGGGCAGCAGCAGCAGCCTTGGCTGGAAACTGTGCCCACTGGCCAGGGCTGGGGTCCACTGGTGGGGAAGGCTGGAAGTGCAGCACTGGTTTAAAGATAAGTAATAAGGATATATTGCAGATGCATATTAGACATGCCTCAAATGCAAAGGGTAGCTTGGGAGAAGACAGTTAGCTATTTTAAAATTTATCCAGCAGGTGACAGAGGTTGGCATAACAGATCAAACTGATTCATGAGTCAATGCCTCACATGCAAGTGAAGAACAGACTGTGAAAAGCCTTGAAAGCCAATTTAAGTAGCTTATATTTGACATAAGAGAGGAGGAACCAGCAAATAAAGGCAAAGATGGGCGACAAGGTCAAAGCTAGGAAAAAAATTCTGACTGGAATTCTGAATGAAAAATGGGGTCATGCCCCACTCATCCAAGGCTGGAGGAAAGAACATGGGAGTAACAGAGCTTGAATGAGCACTGCAGCTGGATGGAAGGTGCTAGGAGAGATTATAGAAAGATTACATCCTAGAAACATTACAAAAGGATCAGCAGGATCTAAAAAAAAGACAGATAGTAAGCCCAGATGTGAAAACCTGCCAGACTGTGGGGGCCCAGAAGGATGAGAAGGATTTTGATGTTGTCCAGAAATCAAATGAATATGAAAAAGATGGGGTTGGAAGAAGAGGAGAGACAGTGAAGAAGTAATTAAGTACTCCATTTCGCCATGTTGTTTAGCTAATTAGTTCATGACCATCCGCGAAATGCTGGGGGGGCCAAGTTTTTAGTTTGGATCATAACATGTCCATTCCTGTTTTAAAGCCTACAAAATTACCTGCAAGAACCCTGCCATCTGAGCCTGAGTCACTTCCCAGCAGGGCTTCCTACATGCTGACGTTAGTTTACAAGCCTCAGTTGAGACAGTCTCACAGGTGTTTAATTAGCCCCCAAAAGTGAGATGAAAAAAAAACACATCTAATCAGAGGGAGCTATACTAGGAACAGGTACCTCTCTGAGGTAGCATTAACATGCTGATTTACCAGAAGCTCTTCCAGTTCTGGGTTCAAATTGGAGGTGCTGTGGTTTCCAAATAAAACTTTTAAAAAGGATCAGTTACTCCCATGCTTCATCAGGCCTGAATTCAGAGGATGGCTCTCTAGAAAGGCCTCCTTAAGAGACTTTCTCCAGCTATTCAGGGACAAATCTGAGAACTTAAATAATGTATGTATGCAGCTGGTTGTGCAATGGGAGAGCATAACTATAGCAACTGTATTAGAAAATGCAAGGCCAAGTTAACAAATGGGGTCAGATTCATGCTTCAAAAGCAGAACCTTGCCACTTACAGCAATACAAGTTAAGTCATTTCAATTTGGCAGTACTGTAGGTTAAATGAAAGCTGTGTGGGGGAAGCTGGACCAGAAAGAATGGGAGAGGTGACATAATGTTGGGAGGGGTGTGGGAGAGAAAAATCTTTACTCCTAGTAAGGAAACTTGCAGTTTAAAGTCTTGCCACTGATCTCTTACAAATGTTGGCAACAATGGAACAGTTAGGTTAAGATCAGAGCACACATCTAAGAGTCAGAGCCAATTAAACTGCCCTGCCACAGACACACCATGCTGTATTATGGTTGATCACATTAACGTAAACCCATAAAAGTAAATGATGGTTTCATTCATAAAAGCTGAAGAGAATGTTTGGTGCACATATACAGAGGTTGTTAGCCATGTCAGTCTGAAATGAGGCAAAAGGCAGGGCATATTAGTACCTCATAGATAAGTCAACTGGTTTCCTAGCTATGAGGAAAGAAGCACCTTTTACCAGCCATGGTGCTCAGTTAACTGCTTAGGAACAGTTCATACTCACGTGATGAAATCCAGGAAGCTCGCCAATGGTTCGTATGCATGGTTCCTCATGTGACGGAACTCCACCACCATCTTCTCTTTCAGCTTGTCATCTATGACAGACACAGTAAGGGGAGAGGCTTCGTTGGCCAGGAAGTTTCCATAATCAGTGCTTTGGAGATGCAGCTTCAAATCTAAAATAGCAAAAACCACAATTCACAAATTTTGCAGAGGTAGATTTTTTTAAAAAGTGTTTCAGGAACAGTAAAAAACGGAGTCCCTGCAACAAACTGCTTTAAGCATTCCCCATTACACTAGCATACAGCGACACCTGCTGTTCACAAAGGCAAGGCTGCTTTCTTAATACCCAGTTATGTCCATCATCGTTCCTACTAAGGCAAGTCTGAGCACAGGAAGAGAGGTGCGATTTGTCTCAGTCCCATCCTTGTTTTCTTAAGCAATGCCCTACCCTACCCTCAAAATAAGTCTTCATTTTTTCCTTTAACCCTTTGAAATTATACCTCCCTACTTGTAATTCTGAGTTAGAAGCCTACTAGCACTCTATAAGCGTATTTACCAACAAGCTTAGCATTTGGAAACCAAGTGCTTCACTTTGCCAGTTGGTACTTGAGTCTCAGACTTCACTAAGGGCATCTGCACTATCAGGTTAATAGGAACAGCTTAAGACCAGCTGGTATAGTTAAGAGTTCTGACCATAAAGATGCTTTCAAAGAGGCATATCAACTCAAACTAAGAACAGCAGGGGCAACACGTAGTGGGTGCACATGCACCCCCTACAAAAAGGCGCTGTCAACACTGGCGACCACCCGCACGTGCCCCTGACGCTGCCACCAACACCGCCGGTGGTGTCTGCGGTCAGTTTGCGATCCCCGCAGGCCACTGCCATCACTGCTGGGGGGTGCGGGGGGGAGCCCCCCCCCCCCCCCCCCCCCCCCCAACAGTGCCAGCAACATCTGTAGGAGCTCCCCCACTTACCACCATGCTCCTGCTGCCGCCATGCCCCACCCAGCTGCCAGAGGCATGCGCTGTTCATGAAGAACAGCATCACATGCAGTTACAAAATATAAACCCAGGCAACTTCTTTGACATGACACATCCACAGAGATAGGTTTGACCAATACACAGCAATAAATTGAAATCACGTATCACAGGGTCAGGATGAGGTTGCTGAGAAGGAAAAAGAATAACAAGGGAGAGAATCTATAAAATAAGTGTGCCAAGAAAACCTTAAGAAAAAACGCACATAATCGAAGCACTCCCTGATTTCAGAAAGACCTCAATGCTTTTCTCTCAGCTAACCTTTCTTGACCATCTGATGCACTATAAGCTGCACTGCTGGCCAACAAGTAATCCCAATGTGCTGGCGTCTCTTCTTTGTCAGGGTTAAATAAAAAAGAAAAATCTTATTCAAGCCAACAAGCATTACAGGCTGTAACTGGATCCAAAACATTTTTGTGTCATAAAAAAATCATTTGTTTCTCAAAGCTTTACTTGCTGAGCTGGTACATAGTGTTCATATACCTCTAGCTTTGTCTGGTCAGAGAGCAAGTTAGACAGGAACATTCTCCCAGGGATTTGAAGGCTTGGAGGGGGAGGAGATGAACTCAAGAAGTTTAGTTAAACCAGATGTGAACATACTGTCCAAAAATTTCTTCCCAGTTTTTTGGAAGCAGGAGTGTTTAAGCCACTCTCACTGTCCCACCAAATTGCACAATAACCCAACTTTACACAGAACATAAAAGAGCTGTTCAAGGTCAGGTGAAAAACTGGTCCCATGAAATAGGGGTAAAAATGAGTTGGATAAATCTAAAGGTCTGGATTTTCTGGAACCACATCCTAATGTGTATGCACAATTACAGTCATGCACACATGAAAACCAGGTATCATCATCAGCTGGATGTACAGTCACACCATTCAGGCAAATGTTAGAGCTATACAGAACCTGATGTAGCACATATCCAATGGAATAAAAGAATGGTTGGTGGACTACTTCTAAGTCACTTTAGAAGGCTCCTGCTCCAGTGGACATATTTTCAGTGAGATGTCAGGGACATGATCTTAACCAAAAACTAGGTAGTATCTTTAATGATGTGGAAGAAAAAAAAAAATCATCACCAATAAATTTTGCAGATGATAAATTGGTGAAAGGGTCAAGAAGAGCAGAGCAGTCCAGTTGCAATGATGCCAACTAGCTTCCAACTACTGTTCTTCATCAGCAGACCCCAAATGAGGGGTTTACAAAAGGGAGGTCAATATCATTATTCTTACCATACATTTCTTCATTTCACTGTGCCTTAAATCTATTCAAGGTCACCTGGTAGGACAGGGACATTTTGAACCCATAGTCCCAGCTTAATGTCCCACCCACTAGACTACTCTCCTCTATAGAAACAGCTGGATTGCTAGCATATGGACCCAAATATCTTAGAGCAAACTGCAGAAGTCATATTGCATGAAAAAAAAAAAAGATCACAGATCACACTTCCAGGATGGGTGACAGTGGAGGGATGCACCACAGAACACACTGACCCAAAAAGTGGTTTTCAACCTGTGGTCTGCAGATTGTGTAAGGGGTCCATGAACAATAACTACAATCAATCAAAAGTAGTGACTACCCACACTTACAATTCAAAGGGGTCTACACTATTCAAAAATGTTTAGGGTTCCACAAGTGACAAAAGGTTGAAAACCACTGACCTAGAAGGAACCGGGGGTCACAACAGAAAACCAAATGAACATGAACCACAGCATCAAGCAACACTGAGGGCCTACACAAGCCTTAGATGAATAAACAGGAGAATAGAGTAAAATAGAATAAGGAGAGAAGCAGTGTTCTCTACCCCCAGGCCGATGCCATATCCTACATGCCACATGGGGCCGGGGCAAACATATGCTGCATATGTTGCATGGAGCTGGACCCAGCGCATGCAATGCAAGCTGAGCACACAGCCAGTGTAGGGGATGCACTGCATGTGGCTCCTGGACTGACCCTGCATGCTAGATCCAGCACATGGGGCTGCTCTGTGGACCTGATCCAGCTCAGACTGACCCCAAGCATGCCTCATGGGACCAGATGAGTTTGACACCTCAACTCTAGACTATACATTTTAATACACAACTGCAGACTATATTTCCCTCACAAGATCCCTGCCTTATTCAACATACAGGATAGCCCTGTTGAGGATGAATCACAGTCGGCAGTAAGAGAGACTGAGTGCTTGACTTGCAACCTTAATAGTCTTTGAGTGTTTGCATGTCACTTTATAGGGCTTTTCGGAAAGCTGTAGAAATACATCTGTGTTACGCCAGCTGGCAGCCAGCATGGAAAGTTCTGTCCCTGTCAAATTTCTGCCACTGTAAACAGGTTCTTAGGCTTTATACCTAGCACTGATGAATGCTACTACATGCTGTGTTCAGTACTGGTGCCCACATTTTAAAAGAACATTAAGTTAGAATCAAGTCAAAACGGTAGAAAGATTGAGACCTCCAATGAGTCCATTTAAGACAGCAGGGGCAAGTTGGTACAACTGAGACCTCCAATGGTCCATTTAAGACAGCAGGGGCAATGGCAGAAGGCGATTATCTAGCAAAGATGAAACAAGATCCAATGACTAAGTTGAAGCCACACAAATATTTAGATTTAAATAAAGGTGCAAATTAAACTGAGGGTAATTAACTACTGGGACATGACTTAAATTGAGACATTTAAATCTGCATATTGAGCTTAGTCTTGCAGGAATCATGGGGTGAAACACTGGCCTATGACATTAACTAGATCAGTGTTCCCTTCTCAACCTGAAACATATTCCATCTAACTGGCAATTACCCAGATGACAGTGATACTGATAATCCTGTTCATAACAGTTTATGCTAGTCAGTAAAAACATTTCTGCAGTCTTACATGGACTTGATCCACACACATTCACAGGTTGTTGAGGATGGTCCATAGCTCCATATACTGTGCAACTGGTCAACTTGTGTATGTGTAAATTAACACACTTTCAAGTACCTCTCTGCAGTTGCCTAGCATCCAAAACATTCCAAATGTACTCCCCATGCAGGCAAGCTTTGCAGCTATCCCTAAAGCTATACAGAATTACATATCGATTTTTTAACTATTTCATATTACAAGAAAAAAGCACTAAGAAGTTGAGAGATAGTAAAATTCAGATTGCCCATGTAACCCTATGTCTATAGACCACAAGTATCAAAAAACATGGCCCATGGGATGGATCACATGCCCATATTGCACCATGTGCTAGCCCTGATCCTATGTACTTCATGCAGAACCCATCTAGCATGAATTATACACAGCACAGGGCTGGGCCATGGTTCCCACCGCACAGGATTAGCCCCAGTGCTGGATCTAGAGCTAGGTTTTTCAGTTATTTCAGCAGGGTAGAATAGAATCATACTTACGTGCATACTATTTGGCCTTAAGTGCCCAGATCCCACAGAGATTCAGACACAGTAATAGTTACTTTAGTTCCATCAGAGCAACCTGAAGATTCAAAAATTACAACAGGGCTTATGCAAGAGACAAAGACTTCTTAAGATTATATCTTTTATTGGACCAACTATGTAGCTGGGATAAAAAGTCAGACAAATTTTTAAAACCCTGATATTCTGTGATCAGGTCTCTGACCACAGAAACTAGGCACAGCATAGTGAAAAACAGCAGAGGTAAGAGGGTGAATGAAATTCTCAAGGGCTGCACACATGTACACAATTAAGAAAAGAAAAGAAGCTGATTACTGGGAGATGAAGCCCTATCAAAAGGGAGAAGGATCATTCTCATCTTTCCTGTGTGGAAAGAATTCAGGAGTCGAGTAAAATATTATGTGCCAACTTCATTCTCAGTTAAGAGAGAATCCAAGCATCCCCAAATATATAGAGCCATCAGAAATTCTGAACCAAGTGAATTACCAAAGCTGGGCTAGCAGCACCATCTGGGAGGCCACAAGGCCCAGAGTAACTAAGGACAAACAGGTAGAGAGGTGCCAAAGAAAGCCTGGAGAAGTGAGGCAGCAGACCAAGCCATAGCAACTAGGGTTAAGCATATGCGTGATCCAAAAGAGGAAAGTACCAGAGAGGCAGAAAATGCCAGGAACCCCTAGAAAAACCTCATTTTGGATCAAAAATGGGTACTGAGAGACAGGCAAAATGCTATTGC